GAGAAGGTCCTCAACAAGACGGATTGATATGGTGGCTGCAATCATGGGCTTAAGTATAGCAAGGATTCTGAGGCTGGCACAGGACAAGGCAGTGTTTCGTTCTGTTGTACATAGGGTCACTATGAGTTAGAGCCAACTCGACAGCACCTAACAACAACAAGAACAACCTTCTAAACTGTAAGAGAATATATTCCTATTTGTTAAAGCCATCTACTTGTGGTATTTCTGTTATAGCAGCACTAGTTAACTAAAACTAGTACCATTGGTTCTTTGTGATATGCTTCCTCCTAAATTGGTTGAATGTTGACCGATTCTTTTTGATACAGTGACTCTGTATTATGCCTTCCATCATCTTCAGATGCTTCCTGCCTTGTTCAATATTTTGCCCAGAAAATCTTTCAGTATTACAACACAAGACTTGAATTTTTTCTTCACTTCCTCAAGAGTGAGAAATGCCAAACATGCTCCTCCTCTTTTGTTTTCTAACTTCAGGTATTTGCATATTTCATTATAACACTTTACTTTGTCTTCTCAAGTCACCCTTTGACATTTTTGGTCATTAGTGTTCATTGCATCAACTCTGTTCTTTAGATGGTCTCTGAGTTCACGTGGAATATACTCAGTGTTGTATTTTGGTTCTCATGGACTTGTTTTATCTTCAGCTTCAACTCGAATATGAGCAATTCATGGTTTGTTTTGCATGCAGGCCCTGGCCTTGTCCTGACTGATGATATTGAGCTTTTCTATCATCTCTTTCCACAGAATTAGTGGGTTTTATTCTTGTATATTTCATCAGGTATGGTCCACATATATAGTCACCATTCATGTTGTTGACAAAAGACATTTCTAATGAATAGGTCATTGATCTTGCCAAATTCTATCATGTAATCTCCAGTGTTGTTTCTATCATGAAGGCCATATTCTCCAAGTACTCATCCTGATTCTTTGTTTCCAACTTCTGCATTCCAATCACTAGTAATTTTCAATGCATCTTGAATACATGTATGATCAATTTCAGGCTGCAGAAGTTGGTGAAAAATTTTTCCATTTCTTCCTTTTTTGCATTAGTGGTTGGTGCATAAATCTGAATAACAGTGATGTTAACTGATATTCCTTGTAGGTGTATAGATTTTATCTTATCACTGACAGCTTTGTACTTGAGGATAGATCTTGCAGTGTTCTTTTTGACAATTGTGATGCTGTTTCTCTTCAGTTTATCATTCCGGGCATAGTAGACTATATGAATGTTTGATTCAAAATGGCCAACACCAGTCCATTTCAGCTCCCTAATGGCTAGGAAATCTCTCATCACATGTTCCATTTCATTTTTGAAACTTTCCAATTTTCCTAGATTTGTACTTCTGCATTGCATATTATAAGTATTAATGGATGTTTGCATGTATATCTTTTTATTTTGAGTTGTGCCACATAAGCAAATGAAAGTCCTCAAAGTTTTATCCATCCAACATTTAACATCATTAAAGTTGACTGTACTTTGAAGAAGCAGCTCTTCCCTAGTAGTATTTTGAGTACCTTCCAATGTGAAGCGCTTATCTTCTGTCTTTGTATCAGATAGTGTTCCACTGCTATTAATAAGGTTTTTGCTGGCCAGTTTCTTTAGAAGTAGGTAACCAAGTCCCTCTTCCCAGTCTGTCTTAGTCTGGAAGCTCCACTGAAACCTGTCCACCATGGATGACCCTTCTGCCATTTGAAATACTAGTGGCATGGCTTCCACCATCACAGCAACTTGCAAGCCACCACAATATGGCAAACTGATAGATGAGTGGTGGATCAACAGACTAGACATCAAATATCCTCTGGATCTCACCCTAGCAACTTATCATTAAGACCTTTATTTGTAAAATGGGTACATTAACACCAGCTTCTCCCTTAGTTGGTTATGAGGATTAAATGTGCTAATCCAATTAGAGGGCTTAGTTTACTGTCTATAAGTCAAAAGCACTCAGTGAGTGTTAACTATTGTTCTTGTTATTATGGAAGCTTTATTCACTCTGGGACAAAATACACACATACACACCCACTATTTAATAAACATATTATGAGGTGCTTAACATGTACCTAAAGAAGCTCTGGTGGCACAGTAGTTAAAGCATTTGGCTACTATCCAAAAGGTCAACAGTTTGAATTTACCAACCACTGAGTCAAAGATGAGGCAATCTGCTTCTGTAAAGATTTACAGCCTTGGAAACCCTATGGGGCTTTCCTATGGCTCTGTCCTATAGAGTTTCTAAGAGTTGGAATTGAATCAATGGCCTTGGGTTTGGTTTGGTAACAGGTACTAGGACTGTTTTGTTTTAAACACTCTTAAATATTAACTCATTTAATCCTCATGGCAATCAACAAGTAATAGTGAGTGATATATTTTCCCCATTTTACAGAGGAAGAAGCTGAGGTTTAGAACGATTAATAAACAGCAAAGTCAGGATTCAAACCCAGAACCTCTTGCTCCATAGTCTGCTTGTGTCCACTGTGCTTGGCTGACTTGTTTTCCTTGTGATTATACTGTCCATTTAGACCAATCAGGTGGCTATATGAACACTGCTTATTTTGAAGTTGGCTGCAAAAGCAAACAGAAGCTTGAGGTCTGCCACAAAACCTGCCATGTAGTACTACAGATTTGGATACCCATCACCGTAGGCCAGCGTGTCATTCTCTATATCTGAAATCCACTCAATTGGAAATTGCAAGAGCTCTTTGGTAGTTGGCACTTGGGAAAATGCTTCATCTGGTAACCCTGGCTGGGGCTGCCAGTGGTCTGGTCCTCAAATTTCTTGACAGCCATAAGTTCCTTACTTCATTGTAGGATGGGGAGGAAGTGTGAGAAGTAGTGACAAAAGACAGGCATGATCATCATTAGTGGTAATCTGGTAATCATCCTTAATGGTTGGCTCAAGTTTGAAGATATATATATATAGGCCTTTGGGTCTTCTGGAAGACACTTAGAAAGCAAATCAAAGTTGACTATGCTGTACTCCCAGGCATAGGGAGATAGTGCACAAGAAGTCCATTGGCCTGAGACTACACTAGCCTTTTGGCTTCTCATATGAATGTCCCAGGAGCCACTTAGAATCAAGAAATTTAGCTGCAAATTTCTGGAAGGCCTTATCTCAGAGGACTCTGAGGGTAGACACATGCCCCTTTGACAGCCCTCAGCTTGTGAGCTTGGAGTAAATTCTCTGTCCCTGGAGCTGCAATCAGCCTCACTTTTATCTTACAGCCTGTGTACCTCTGTCAAGCTCCAGGCAGCTGGGCACGTCCCTTGGGAAGTAAGTTCTACCAGTTGTCTCTCCTGAGACCAGGACCTGGGTCTTCCTATTACCCTGACTGACCTAAAAATGCACCCTGCATGCTGTGTACAGCGAGCAGCTCCCCGCCGTGCTAAAGCTGCTGCAGTAGAGGGAGCTGCCCTGAGCTGTTCAAGCAGCAGAAATGCCTTTGTATGTTATGTGTTCAGATTCCTTGAGCAATAATTCCCAGCAGCCATCTGAAGAAAATGGCGTCCATATCCTGGGCCTGGAATGGGTTGAGAGAAATCATAGCTTTCTCTGAGTGTGGATGGAGTCATGGTAGCTGAGAAATCTGTGGATGATGGGACAGTGGTATATTTCCAATAGCGTATTTTGCTGTCTCTGCTCAAGATGCCAATTTGTTTAACCAAATGTTTTTGTGGGGGAGGATAGGGGAAAACATCACCTCCTCTGGCTCTGCAGAACAGTTATGAGAGATTTACTGCCTAATAGACTTTAGGCCCCGGAGCTGGGAGATGGCACAATTGCTTTTGTTTTGCAGAGAATTCCCTGAGGTCTCTTCTCTGCCAGTGATGAGCGTGTGCACCTCAGCATGTGGAGTGCTGATTAGCCAAGGGTCTTCTGCTCAGCCTATTCTGGAAAATGTGGCAATATATGTGCTACTCTCTTTGGAGGCTCTTTCTGGAATTATTTGTTGGAATCAACTTTTCCCCTGTCTTTACTACTCCTACTCACAAAGCCGCACTTGATAGATTGATCAGCTTGAAATTGCCCCAAAGTGCCTCCTTGCCTTTGTTCAGGGTGGTCCCCTGCCTGGATTACCTTTCTATTTTATCTTTTCAATATCCTGCCCATCCTTCAACTTCTAATTCATGTATTAATGCTTCCCTAATCCTTGGCCCCAGAAATTGATCCCTTTTTTGTTCTCTTGAGCTCTATTATCATTTTATATGCCCATCATGGCCCTTATCTAATTCTGCTTTGCACAATAAATATTTATGCACAAGCTTTTACCCCCCTATTACGTTGTAACTTTGTGTGGCAAAAGCTCTTGTGCATATTGAACTTCTTCACAAAACTTAAAATAGTCTTATGCACATAGTTGATGCCTAGTTTATTGAACTGAAACAAAAACTCTGTCCTCAAGGACTTTTCACATTCCAGGAAATAAGTAAAATTAGGCATGGATGAAGTCATAAAGCAACCAGACAAATAACCGAAGAGGGGAAGGTAGCTCTTAGCCCTTGGAACATGTAAGATTCAAAAGGATTTTAAAAAGTCATTCCTGTCTAAGATGAAGATGCTTAAACTCCCTAAAGCACAAAAGAATCACTGTCCAGATGTTAAAAAAGAATGTGTACAATAGGTATAGGCCTTAGCTGGAGTTTCCATTCCAATCCCCACAAGCCTGAGAAAACAGCACAGAGTGCAAACATATGGTCTGTTTACTTCCTACTGTTATTTGCAAAGAGCTCTGTGGTGTAGTGCCTAAGGCATTTGACTGCTAACCAGAAGGCTGGTGGTTCAAACCCACCAGCCGCTCCTTGGAAGGAAGGTTGGGCAATCTGCTTGCGTAGTGATACCACCTTGGAAAACCAAGGAGGGGTCACTTTGAGTTGGATTCGACTCCACGACAGTGAGTTTGATTTTTGGTTTTTGTTATTTTAATAGAAAGACAAATTAAATTTCCCCAGAAGTCCTAACCCTCTCTTTTTCTTCTTCTTGCCTCAGCCCTTGACCCATCCAAGGACCCTTGCCTAAAGGTGAAATGCAGCCCTCACAAAGTGTGTGTTACCCAGGACTACCAGACCGCCCTGTGTGTCAGCCGCAAGCACCTGCTCCCCAGGTAAGGCAGGAAGGGAGATAGCTGGAGGCTGGAGGGCAACGTTAGATCAGGGGTGTCAAGTCTCTGACTAGAGGACACAGTGAAGAGGGACAGCATAGTGTTTGTGTCACTATGTACACAGCATTCAGAGCCTGTGTTCTAGTTGTGGTATGAATGTCAATGTCTTTATTTCCTTTAAACCAACTCTCTTCTGACTCTGAGACCCCATCTGGGCAGATAAGCAGAAAATCCCTTCTTGCTCATTATTGAGGCTTCTCCTCCCTGAGTGATCCCAGGATCCAGTGAATTTAGGAAAATGGGACTGAAACTTTAGGCTCCTGGTTGCTACTGACATCCTAGATGGTCCCTTGAGGTCTGTTGAGGTCTGGGGGCTTTCTGCTTCTGTGCCTATGTAGGATGTGAATGTCTCTGTCAGACATTTCAGAGACAGTCAAATGTCAGGCAGATTTGTCAGTCAGTGTCTGCCTCCTCAGGCCCACCATACCACCACTGCCTCTGAGAACATGTCTTGCTATTTCCTGTGGGTGTGGTGCTGATAACTAGCCCCTTCCCAGCCCAGGGGGAGGTCCACTTCCTCTCCTTCAGATTCCTTAAAAACTTTTGTCTCCTCCATGCTACCCATTCACAGCATTATCCTTCCTCTGGCTTTAAGCTTCTACAAATGCTGAAAAGTGCTACTTCTACCTTTACCCCTGCAAAAATACCTGAAGCCAGAAAACATAAAAGAGAGGCTTTCTTTAAGAATGAGGCTGTGTGAGGGCAGAAGCAGAAGAAAGGTGATTACATACATACTCTGCCCTTGGCCCTGCACTGCCTGCATAATTGAGAGGTATACTAACAAGGTATTGGAGTTATGCACACCCAGCTGTCATTCAGCAACTTGATCTGCCACTCACCTGTACTGTGAGCTTGTATGAGTAAAGCAGCCTTTGATATTCTGATTCTCTTTGAAATCTGCCTCTCTACCAGTTTTTCCAATTAGCTAAAGTTTGACCTCCTAGAATCATGCATAATGGCATTTATCCCTTTCGTTAGTTTTGACCCCCTTTTCATTTGGCTTTAGCATCCTTACCCTGAGTGAGGTCATATAGCAGGAAGCAGATGATCTCTAGGATTCTCTACCCCTGTCAGCCACAGGCCTGTCACTCACAGCCTTACTGAGGATCATTTTCTATTCTATTTCCTGACTGTCTGGAGTAGATGAGGAATGCCTGGGAGACTAGAGGGGCCAGGGTAGGACTTAGAGTTTGCCTATGGCTCCACCCTTCTCAGTGGTAGCTAATGTCTTCTAGGGCTCCTGGATTCACTTCCTTTATTAATTATGCCTCAAAATGGCCACGACCTGTTTAGTTACAGCAAAGTAGCTCTGATGGTCTGTGTTGGCTGCTCTCAGCCACTATCAGAGGGACTGCACAACTTAGTGCAAAAGTGGATACTGGGAGCTTCTGCCCACAGAAAGAGATACTTTGTCCTGTCCTCTCCTTCTGACTCCCATACATCACCTCTAGCTTTCTAATTTAGATGCAGACCAACTTTTCCCAGAACCGTTGTACTCTTTAGTATAAAGCATGTTTGTCTAAAACAAAAACAAATAAATATAAGACATAAAAAGCTATTTCTCAGAGGCTTTCTGAAACCGATGGTCTCTTCTCCTGGAGGGTATGAATAGGAAGGAAGGACCAACGCTGAGAGTCTTTATGTGGTAAGACTTTGGGGATGAGTGATGAATGGATGAAAGATATGTAGAATGGTTTCTACCAATTGCATTACCTCCTAAAATTCAGAATACAGCCCTTTCTGGTAGTGCCAGACCAAAGATTTTTCATTTTTAGGCTCAAATCTGTTTGAGGCATGGGTAGCAACCTCACTAGTATGCAGGCATATCAGGTGTAAATGGTATTTTTCTGGGCATGCCAGGTTTCTATGTTGGAAGTACCAACACATTTTTGATTGGTTTGAAAGTATAATGCTTATCTCCCACATCTCCTAGTGACCACAGAATTATGACTAAAAATATGGATTTGATGGCAACTAACAACCACAACAAGCATGGATTTTTATATGAGACAATTATGGTCTCAGTTCCCAAGTTGTAAATTTCCTAATTGTATGACCTTGGCAAATTACTTCATCTTTCTGAGTTAGTACTTTCTCATCTGTAAACTTTGTTTAAAAATGAAAGCACTTGCCCCATTCTTCTTTTCCATTTTGCTGGACTACATCCTCTAGTAATTCTTATAAAGAGCATTTATGGGTAGTCAGTGTTCCAAATTCTTGCATATTATGCATAAGAGTTTAATAAGATAATGGTGTCTAAATATATTCTAGTGACTGGAACATAGTGAGTATTCAGTAATGGTAGCTATTTTTTAAGTGAAGGAGTTCTGGCTGCACAGTGGTTAAAGCATTTGGCTGCTAACCAAAAGGTTTGCACCCACCAGCCATTCCATGGGAGAAAGATGAAGCAGTCTGCTTCCGTAAAGATTTACAGCTTGGAAACCCTATTGGCAGTTATGTTCTGTCCTGTAGGGTTGCTATAAGTTGGAATCAACTTGATGGCAGTGAATTTATTTATTTATTTTTACAATCATTAAAGTAATTGTAAGGAGCTATGGTAACGTAGCTCTGGTAGCATAGTGGCTAAGACACTTGCCTGCTAACCAGACGGCTGGCGGTTCAAACCCACCAGCCACTCCTCGGAAGGAAGGTTGGGCAATCCTACTTCCGTAGTGATACTGCCTCGGAAACCCAAGGAGGGGTCGCTATGAGTCGGGGCCGACTCGACGGCACATAACAACAACAACAACAACATGGTAACGTAGTGCCTAAGGCACTTGACTGCTAACCCACCAGCAACTCCTTGGAAAGAAGATGGGGCAATCTACTTCCATAGTGATACTGCCTCAGAAACCCAAGGAGGGTTTGAGTCTCTATGAGTTGGGTCCAACTCAATGGCACATAACAACAATAACAACAACAAAGTAATTGTAATACCTGTTGCCATTGAGTCAATTCCTACTCATGACAATCCCACGTTTTACAGTAGAACTGTACTCTATAGGCTTTTCAATGGCTATAATCTTACAGAAGTAGATTGCCAGGTCTTTCTTTTACGGTGCTGCTGGGTAGATTGGAACCACCAACCTCTGTGGTTAGTAGTCAAGTACAAACTGTGTGCCACTCAGGGACCTATTATGACAATAGTTGTTATTAATGTCTGATTCATTCTGGAAGGTTAGCTGGAAACCTGCACAGTTGCACCCTCCTGTTAAAAAAGTAACTCACTACAAGTACCTTGCCACCTGCCCGGTTTGATTAGGATTGCCTTTCCAGTGCCCACTAGAGTAAGACCTTGAGGTTTATCATGAAGATGACAGTGTCATTGGTGCTTTCTCCTTTGTGATTCATAGCAGGTATGGGCTCAGAAGATGGGTACATTTTTGAAGATAGTGATTATTCATTGGAAAAAAAACAGTCCAAAGTTGAGGCATTGGCTGAGGAGAATTTGGGAACCAAGGAAAGCCCTGCAATGGTGTTTGCTGTGGTTGTGGTGTCAACCTTCCTCCTCTCCCTCTTACAGGCTGACTTCCTCAGCTTACAATGTCAGTTTAGGGCATATCTCTTCTAAAGGTCTTAGTGCCCTATCTGTCCTTTCGCATTATATTTCAGGTGTCCCCTCTAACCAGGGAGACTATGTTGACAACTCTATTTATTCATCAGTCAGAGAAGTTATCTCTCTCTCTGTGAAACATCTGTAGGCAATCCTGCCAGCAAATCTGGCTGCTATAGCAGCTCAAGAGGCAAATCCCGCCTGCCAGACAGTCAGGAGTGCACACATGGAGAGGCTGCCAGGCCAGCCTGGGGCTTATTAGGAGGCTCCAGACTTAGGCTGTTTTTGCAAAGATATTGAGACAGAAGGACAGTGAGTGCATCAACAAGAGAATTTAATTAGCTTCCCTTGCCCATGGAGATTGAGTGAGTAGAGAAACTACTTGACACACACATCTATGACTGCAGAGGATATGGGTGGGCACAGGAGTAATGTCAGTGTGGGTGCAAGCAGCCCTCCTCTTGCTGAAATTCTTCTCAATCAGTGTAATATTTGTGTTTTGAATTGTGTTTGGTTTCAGCTATAGGCTTGAGCTAAACTCACATTCTTTTTGGAATTTTTTTTGTTTTATCTCTGTCTGCTATTAAACACTATTGAGTGGGCTGGCACAGGGTGGATTCTTGGTAATGTCTTCAGGTTCTTCAGGGGGACCATTTATTTACCAGAGGGCAGTGTGAAGGCAGCTTCAAAGTCAGTAAGTACCCCCTTATTGTTGTTATTTGCCATCGAGTCAGACTGGACTCATAGTGACCCCTCCTTGGGTGTCTGAGGTGGTATCATTATGGAAGTAGATTGCCCAACCTTCCTTCCAAGGAGTGGCTGGTGGGTTTGAACAATAAATGGATGGTAGGTTAGCAGTCAAGTGCCTTAGGCACTATGCTACCAGAGCTCCTCTGTACATTCTTATATGACTTTTTTTCTTAATATTCTGATTTATTTTTGATATAATGATGTTGTTAGTTGCTGTTAAGTTGGCTCTAACTCTTGACAACCTTATGTATAACAGAATTAAATGTTACTCGGTCATATTCTATTTTCATGGTCATTGACATGTTTGAGCCCATTGTTGCAGCTAGTGTGAAGTGCCTTCCAACCGAGGGGCTCATCTTCCAGCACTACATTGGACAGTGTTCAGTTGTGATCCACAGGGTTTCCATTGACTAATTTTTGGAAGTAGATCACTAGTCCCTTCTTCCTAGTCTGTCTTAGTCTGGAAGCTCTGCTAATACTGGATGATCCTAATATTTAAAACACTTTTGGCATAGTTGCCAGCATCATAGCAGCAGGTAAACCAACTACAGCACCACAAACTGACAGATAGGGGGTGGAATATAATAAGAATTGATGTTTATTATAGAAAACATTGAAAATACAGAAGAGAAGAAAGAAA